TACAAACTGATTGGCCTATTAGCTCAGACTTCTTATAAATTCTTATAACTTATATTAGTCCATAATACTTATCTGTGTTAGCCATGTGGCTTGGTACCTTTTTTTTGGTGAGGCAGTCACATCTTGCTTGCTCTGTGTCTGACTTTCTCTCTGTCTGGGTGACGACTGCAGACTGAAACTTTCCTCTTCCCATAATTCTTGTTGCCACACCTCTACTTTCTGCCTGGTCACCCTGTGTATACTTTTTGCCTAGCTACTGGTCAATCAGCATTTATTTAAAATGCAAGCGACAGAGTACAGACCATGGTCCCACAGCAGCTCAGCAATTAAGAACATTGGCTGCTCTTCCAGAGTATCTGTGTTCAATCCCCAGCACCCACATGGAGACTCACAACAGTCTGTAACTCCAGTACCAGGGGATTCTCTGGCCTCTGCGGGCACCAAAGACACAAGTGATACACATACAAGCAAGCAAAACACTCATACACATTAAGTAAACAAATAAAATAAACACTTTATAATTTTTAAAATGCTGATTTAAGGAGAGAAAGACAGGGGAGAGAGAGAGAGAGAGAGAGAGAGAGAGAGAGAGAGAGAGAGTGAGAGAGAGAGAGAGAGAGAGAGAGAGTCCTGTTTTTATAAGTTTCTAGACTTATATGGGTATAGCGACACTGACCTGCGATTTCAGCACTTGGGAAGTTGAGGCAGGAAGATCTTCAGTTTGAGGCTAGCCTGGTCTATACAGTAAGTATCTCAAACAGTAGAAATCAAACTAACAAAAAGGTTCCAGTTTGCTGAGAAGTCTGGTTGTCCTGGCTCCTCCCATCCCTGTTGGAGGTGCCCTGGCTCCTCCCATTCCTGTTGGAGGTGCTCTGGCTCCTCCCATCCCTGTTGGAGGTGCTCTGGCTCCTTCCATCCCTGTTGGAGGTGCTCTGATTCCTCCCATCCCTGTTGGAGGTGCTCTGGCTCCTCCCATCCCTGTTGGAGGTGCTCTGCCCGGGTAGATGTAGGTGTTCTCATTGCACAGCTCGCTGGTGTGTCTTGTCTTATGCATCAAGTGGCACTTGTCATCTTGGGCTTTTGAAGGCAGGAGAACTGTTGGTGTTGGTGAGACTGAGCATCTACTCAGACACAACACAGAAGAACTGCAGACTCGGCTCACTGAAAACACACCCCAAAGTCACAAGCAAAATCAGTGATCTTATTATTTAGAAAAAGACAAGCTTTTACTTGGATATAACTGCAAAATGTTACACTTGAGATTTCAGGGAGTTGATCAAGGGTCTTTGAAATATTTACTACGACACCGGTTTCTCTGGCCTGCTACATTGGTTCTCTTGTGTGTCAAATGACTGGAGAAGTTGAGGATCTTCTGCGTATTGACAGGCTGGCTTCTGCTCTGATTGAATGTTGATCCCTCTGACAGGCACACCTGTGATCTAACAAATAAAGCTTGTCTGAAGATCAGAGCGTGGAGCTAAGCCACTAGTTAGCCATAGATGTCAGTCAGTGGCGGCACACACCTTTAATCCCAGCATTGGGGAGACAAAGGTAGTCAGATCTCTGTGAGTTCAAGACCATCCTGGGCTACACAAGATTGACCCAGTCTCAAAGAGAAACAGAGCCAGTGGTGATGGCTCACACCTTTAATCCCAGTATTTGGGATCCCATGCCTTTAATCCCAGCACTAGGGAGGTGGAGACAGGAGTGATATGGTTGGGTGGAGAGAGGAATATAAGGCAGGAGGAGACAGGAGCTCAGGCCATTCAGTCTGCGGATTCCTGGAGACAGGATCTTGCCCGCTTCAGTCTGAGGATTCGGTAGAGGCAAAAATTCTCTCTAGTGGCTGTCTCCTTTACTTCCCTGATCTTTCAGCATTTACCCTGATATTTGACTCTGGGCTTTTATTATTAAGACCAATTAGAATTCCTGCTGCACTCACCCCAATCGTTCAGGCTGCTGCATGGTGCTAGTATGTGCAAAGTAAGCTAGGATTTTGTGTTGGCTGCATTCATAACTAGCTATATATGGGATCAGGTTGGACACCTGCCTGGAATGTTCCCAGATATAGATATATAGTTATAGATATATAGATGTAGATATAGGTATAATCTCTGACCTTATCCCGAGGGATGCTCCACGAGGGACTGTGTATCCCTGAAGTCACAGATATTATCAAACCCTGTATAGACTATGATTTTCATAGAGTTGCACACCCATGATAGAGTTTAGTTTGGGCACAGGGAGAGATCTATAACAACCAATAATAAAACAGAACTTATAGTCATGGTTATAATAAAATTGCCATCATTAATATTCTTGTCCTTTAGGGCTGTCAGGAAGTAAAATCAGGGTTATATGAATATAAATATTTTGACAATGGATCTGATAAACTAAGAAAATTAACCAAGGGACTAACAGGCAGGTAGCATATACAGAGTGGATACGCTGGTCAAATGAAGATTCATATCCTGTATGGACAGAACCCAGCAGCCAAAGAGTACGACACTTATTCGGAATAGGGAATAGTTTAAAATTTAGGAATTATTGACTTCTGGAATTTTCCATTTACTGTTTACAAGCTGTGATTGGTTGCGGATTACCTAAAATCACAGAAAGCAACTTGCATGAGGGAGCGGAGGCTGACTATATTAAACCCAGCCCCGGGGCTCGCCACTAAAACTGGTAGGTGTCTTGAGATCTGAAGTGTCTTCTGGCCTGTGATAAAAATGGTTGAGTCTTTCTACTTCTTTGGGCTTTGGTGAAAAGCCACAGGAGCGTCCAGGTCATGGGAAGGTGGGGTTCATTGCTGATTTTCCCTCTCATGTTTTCACTTTGGGCTTAAGCCTTGCTGGTCCTGTCAGAGGTCATCCAGCTGTCCCGGCTCTGGTGTGTGTTGCATCTGCTTTCCGGAAGGCTTATGATGGGAGCCTCCAAACCACTCAGATTCCAGCCCACAGTAAGGAAAACACTGTACTTATTGGCCCGACATGACGTACGCTCCCGTGACCACGACTGAAGGACAATCTTGGAAAATCACGCCAGTGTTTATCCGTATGGAATGCCCTTTAACATTTTTGATGATTTCTAATCGTTCTTTTCTGTCTTTTTCTTTTTTTTCTGGAGACAGGTTAGAGATGGGACTTATTATGTAGCTCAGATTGACCTCAGAATGCCCGGGCTGTAGGAGGGCTGGGACCACAGCTGTGTGCCACCACTTCCAGCTGCTCTGTAGCTTTTAAATTTGATGGTCACAGTTCACTAACTGACTTCAAGACTCATCAGAGAGTCTCAGGTCACATCTGAGAGAACTGGGTCTTGAGTTATCTCCAGATACGGAATCAGGTAGAGTGGAAGATAAATGTGAGCTCAGGATACACACGCACACACACACACACACACACACACACACACACACACACACAGCTTTCTTGGGGAAGCTGGTTTCCTCCAGACAACCAGCCCAGGCTAGCCCAGGCCAGCCCAGGCCACCCAGGCAAGCTGGAGCAGCCTGTCATGAACTCTTTTTGCCTATGTTTTTCGGAAGCTTCACGAAGATAGTGCGTCAAAAGGCTGATTTGCATGAAGCTACATTTAATGTGCTCAGGATCGGACTGAGGGAAAGCCCTCACTACCAAGTATTATTTTTTCCAAAGTGTGTTGAGGTATAATTGGTATAGCATGACATCCACCCTTTTTAAGTGAACAGTTCAAGACCTTCAGTGAGTATGCTGAGCCATGCTCTCTCATCCCAGTGCAGCCAGAGAGCATCCCTGTCTTCTGTCCAAGCCTCCTCTATCTTCTCCTGCATCACACTCAGAAACTCAGCAAACTGTTCATCCATTTGCCTGGAAACATTTGCCTCTTCTTGATGCCTCACATATGGTCATGGCACATTTTGTTCGGTGACAAGCCAGATATGTGACAGAGGTCCTTAATGATTATAACCGAACTGAAAATACCTGTCACCTGGCATTTCTACTACATGTGTCCTGCGTTTCTCAGTGTTAAAGACACAGCAACTTGGCATTGTGGTACAGTAGGGCTTGGTCTTCCAAGAAAGCGTCAGGCTGTGCAGGCTTTGCAGACTTGCAGCCCAGGGGCTGGAGGCTGCACCACACAGCAGGCTGTGCAGCCTTGCAGCCCTGGGGCCGGGGGCTGCTCCTCACAACAGGCTGTGCAGGCTTGCAGCTCAGGGGCCAGAAGCTGCACCTCACATCACAGGTGTGTAGAACTGGGAATGTAGTTCAGTAGTAGGTGTACCTAGCATTCAAGAAGTCCTGGGTTCCACCCATAGTACTACAGCAAACAAAGAACCCAAAGAACCCAAAAAATATATATATTTAATTCCAGCACTCGGGAGGCAGAGGCAGAGAGGCAGGTGGATCTCAAAGGGAGTTCCAGGGTAGCCAGGGCTATCTGTTTCCAGAAAGAAAAGGAGAGAGGGAGAGAGATACCTCCCCCATTACAGGTGTGAGCCACCTCATCTGCTTTGCGTGGTGTTGGGGGTTCAATGCAGGGCTTCACGTATGCTAGACAAGCAAACACTGCCAACTGAACTCCTTGCACCCCAGCCACACTCTGCATTCTTTGTAAACAAAGTCCACCAGATTCAGATAGACAGGGAGGTGGGTGTGGCAAGAGCTTGCAGCACAGGAGTCTCGAGCCAGGACGGGGCTTCCTCCTGTTAATGAATCTTTGCTCTGAAATGGAGCGAGAGAAACTCCCCAGGACCTAAGTGTTCCTGGCCCATGCCTTAAGCCTTTTCCAGTTTGCACATTAATGTGACTCCTGGGGTCTTGGCTCTCTGCTCTGGCTGCTCCCCAGCTGCTTCCCGCAAGGGGTCTCCCCCACCCCTCAGGACCTGAAACACCAGGCAGGCAGGGCCATCCCGCTGTGCCCTTCTCAGGCTGCAGGTCCACAGGGCGAGCAACTGCAGCTTCGATGGTCCCCGGCCATGCTTTCCAAGCCAGGCTAATCTGTTTCTGCCTCTTCTGCAGATGAATTAAAAAACAAGACCGTGTGTGAAGACCAGGAGCTGAAGCTGCACTGCCACGAGTCTAAGTTCCTCAATATCTACTCTGCCACCTATGGTCGGAGGACCCAGCAAAGGGACATCTGTTCCTCAGAAGCTGAGCTGCTGCCCCCCTTTGGTGGGTGACTTTATTTGGCTATAATTAGGCTGTTGTCTGAGTGGAGTGTGGTCGTGGGTAGGCAGTGAGGTGTGGCTGGTACCACGTGAGAGGAAGTCAAGGACAGAGGCTGGTCCTCGCCATGGTGGCCTCTCTGTCCCTAGTCTTAACTCTACTGGTGGCTCAGTCACTCTACGCAGAGGTAAACCCTGAGTGTAAACAGAGGTCGTCAGTGATCAATATTCTGCCAGTTATAGAGTACCCTTCCAGCAGTGCAAAAGGAGGCCATAAGAAAACAAGAAAGGAACGGATAGAGCAGGCTCTCAAATGCACAGTTCTGCTCTTGTGGGTTCACCCAAGCACAAATCGTAGATACTTAGGGGGGAGGGTTCCTGTATTTGAGCAGGTTCAGGCTTGCTCCCTTTATTACCAGGAGTGTCCACCTTGCTGCCCAGCAGCCACATACATCCTCAGAGAGCTATGGAAAAGGCCAAACACATTTCTAGATGTCAACGCTGCATCGCAACGTCGAAAGATCGTTTATAATACCTTCTATAATATTGCATGTATAATATCAATACAAGCGTGTATTATGCTGTATTGTTACTAGGAGTGCATACTTTGAAGGCCTTGTGATGTTTGTCTTGCATGTTTTCCAAGGTTCATGTGCCAGAATTTAATTCCTGATGGGAGGCATTAGAGTGATGGAAACTTAATGCTCCTGAGGCAATTGGAGGCGTGAAAAAAGTGACTAGAAGCAGATAAGATTATCAGTGTGGAGCCCCATGATCAAATCCTTTGAGAGAAGAGGGTGGGACCAGAGAAGACATCTGCAGACATTGCTGTCTCTTGTTATGTGGTACCCTGTGCTGCCTAAGACGCTGCCAGGAAAGTCATCATCAGATACAGGCTCTTGACCTTGGACCGGAGCCATGAGCCAAAATAAGCCTATTTTCTTTATAATGTCACTCAGCTCGGGCATTTTATTATAGCAAAACAAAATCCAGAAACTAATACAGAAAATTTGCCCTGGGAGTATATGAGATCATTACTATATCTTTATTGGAGAATGTGGAAGTGGCTTTGAAACTGGGTAGCAGGCAGAGCTCAGAGGAATTTGGAGCAATGGATTGGGAAAAGTTTGCTTGGCTATAAGACAAATGTTACTGGCCAGTTCTCATGAGGGAGAAGAAGAGACTAGCAAATTAGCCTAGATGGAAATGAGGAGCCTCTTAGAAAATAGGGAGGAGGCTATTCTTATATGAAGTAGCAAAGAACCCTACTGTGTGGGGTCCACACCCTAAAACCTTGGGGCACACCACATGCAAAGATAATGGACTCATTGATTAGCTGTCGTAGAGTTTCAGTGGCTGTGAAGAGACACCATGACTGCAGCAACTCTTATAAGGGAAAACATTTACTTGGGGTGACTTACAGTTTCAGAGGTTTAGTCCATTACCACTATGGCAGGACATGGTGGTGTGCAGGCAGACATGGTGCTGGAGACAGAGCTGAGAGTTCTGTATCTTTATCTGCAGGCAACAGGAAGTGAATTAGAACACTGAGCATAGCTTGAGTATTGGAGCCCTCAAAGACCACTTCCAGTGAGACACACTTCCTCCAACAAGGTCACACCTACCCCAACAAGGTCACACCTACCCCAACAAGATCACACCTACCCCAACAAGGCCACACCTCCTAAGAGTGCTACCCCCTTTGAGGGTCATTTTCTTTTCAACCACAACACTGGGTAAATGAGATTTCAAATCAACAAAGATTCTTGCTGCTGCATGGCCATTATTGGCTGCTTTTAGTCAGACGTATAGTAAAACTCAGGACCAAAGGGAAAGATTTGAAAAACTCTGATTCTGGCCAAGGAGGGAGCAGAGAATAAGAATGTAAGGGTGTGGCTGTGAAACCGCGTACCGGAGAGATTAGCGTGGACAGACGCCAGTTTCTGTGATCGGAACAACTGGAAAAAGGTCTGGAGCCAGACAGGTCCGAGTAAAGTTTCTGTGGGTGCTAGCCCTTGGCGTCCAGGCCGTGCTGGATTTTCAGGTGTACAGAAGGCAGTCCTTGTGGTGGCATGGTGGTTTCCCTGAGATTTCAAAGGGAAGCCTTGAGAAGCCTGGCAGAAGTTGACCATGGGATGGAGCGCCTGTGGAAAGCCCTCAAATGAGGTGAGACATAGTGCTGCTGGTGTTGGTGGAGGCAGTGGGTGAATGCTGAAGTCCTGATTCTTGTGCTTGAAACAAGGAATTGGATGTGGATAGTAGTCAGCAAGGTGAGAGCATTTATTAAGAAAGAACACACTCTCAAGAGAGGAAGTCAGAAGGAACCTTAACCATACAAATCATGTGGACTTTTACACCCCACAATTGATGGTTCTTTGTTCATTTGCACGGTGCAGGATTTCTCACACTGTCTTTTTATAAGCTGTAGCTTGTAAAAAGCCACAGCTCACCACAGACTTCCTGGGGTGCCTGTAGTCAATTCTAGTGGGCCCCCTCTAGCCATAGCCCACAGACTTCTCTCTTACGCTCCTCTGTTCTCCTTTGTGTAGGGCCTTAGATCTCACTCTTGGGTCTATTCTCCCTCTCCTTCCTCAGAGCTAAGGTTGTGTCATTCTCAGAAAGGTACAGCTACAGGGCACCATGCAGCCTTCACTGAGAAAGGCTGCAAGAGAGTAGCCTTGTGGCCAGAAAAGGCCTTGCAAGGTTTGGGACACTCCCCTCAGTGTGCTAGAGGGGCTGAATTTGGCATGCTGGGGTTTAGTATCCTCCCTGCAGGGTTTTAGTCTTCCTTTGAGATGAATATTCTATCCCACTTTTCCAATCTTGGAAATGGGTGAGTTGTGCTGATTTTACAGGTTTACGAGGAGTCAGCTTGAGTCTCAAGTGAGATGTGGGGCTTTTAAGTGCAGGTAAGATTGAACTAAGTCTGTAGGCCTCTTGCAGACAGAAAGACAGAATTTTGCATTGGGAGGTGGACATGACCGTTAGGAGTCAGGGAAGGGTGCAGTGGTTTACAGGCGTCTTCAGTGTGCCCCTGAGGGCCCGTGTGCTGAAATGTACTTCTCCACTGGAAGGTACCAGCAAGGAAGAATACCAGTCAGGATATTTAGAAGTGGGGCCTTTGGGCAGTGTTTAGGATTAGACAGTGTCAGCTGAGTGGAGACCACGTGATTCACGGCTAGTAACTGTAGCAGAGGAAGGAAGGATGAGAAGAGGCACACACTTGTGTGTGAAGCCCAGCACTTCCTCCTGACTCTGCTGTTAAGAAGGTCATAGTGAGTATGGACCCTTGCTTGACCTTGAACCAGGGCTGTGAGTCAAATAAACCTCTTTTCTTTAAAGTTACATGACCCCAAGCATTTCACTATAGTAACTGGAATTTGTGGCATCAGAGGCCTGCGATGTCCTGAGAATTCACCCTGTCTTATTGTATCTGTTTATAGGGGGACTTGCATGCACCAAAGTACATATCTGGATTCCACTCATAGAAGTGGTCCTCTCCCTTCTACTATGTGGGTGCCAGTGACTAGTCAAGGTTGTCAAGTTTGGCAGCAAGTTCCTTTACTTGTTGAACCATCTCACCGGCCTATGGGCTCTTCTCTTGAGAATGGGGGATGCCTGTCAAAGGGTAACCCTGGAAGGTCCCAAAGGCACCAGCATTCAGCTACTGTGATTCTCAAATGGCACCTGTGAGGGTCGGTCGTGACTGTTAATGGCTCTGCTCTCTGCTCCACTTCGCAAGAGTGGCCTAGGAGCAACTGATTCAGCCCTCTCTGTCAGTTCACTTTGAGTATGCTGAGCCGGGGGCTGCAGTGTGCAGAGACAGAAGCTGCAGTGTACAGAGACAGGGGCTGCAATGTGCAGAGATAGGGACTGCAGTGTGCTGACTGAGACAGGGGCGGCAGTGTGCAGAGACAGAAGGTGCAGTGTGCTGAGACAGGAGCTACAGTGTGCAGAGACAGAGGTTGCAGTGTGTAGAGACAAGGCTGCAGTATGCTGGCTGAGACAGGGGCTGCAGTGTGCAGAGACAGGGGCTGCAGTGTGCAGAGACAGGGACTGCAGTGTACTGGCTGAGACAGTTCCTCTCTTCAGTGCTTCCATGCCTCTAGCATTAGGAGAAGGGACCATGCATGGCCTGGGCCATCGTCGGACCCTTCTGTTCCTAGGCTTGCAATTGTCCCCAGGCTGCCTCAAGTCTATACTCATTCCTCCGGTCAGAACCATGCATGCAAAGTCACCAACCTTCAGGTTGGAGAGATGGCTTGGTAGGTAACATGCATGCTACACGAGCATAAGGACCTGAGTTCTAATCCCTCGCAATCACGTTTTAAAAAGTCAAGTGTGGGTGCACTCCTGTAATCTCATTACTAGGAGGCAGACACAGGAAGGTACCTGGACCTTTTGAGCCAGCTAATCTAGCTAACTGATGAGACCTAGATTTAGTGAGAGACCCTTTGCCAATAAATAAATAAATAAATAAATAAATAAATGGGGCGAGCAGAAGTCAGACATGCTTAATGTTGACCTCTGGCCTCTATGCAGGCATGCACCACACACACACACACACACACACACACACTTTGAAAATTAGCTATAAAGTTGCAAACTGGAGCTGGAAAGATGGCTCAGTGGTGAAGAGGACTGGCTGCTCTTGCAGAGGCACAGGTTTGGTTCCCAGCACCCACATGGTGGCTCATGACGGCATAGAACTTCAGCTCCAGAGGAACAGACAACCCCTTCTGGTCTCCATGCACCTTTCCAGTGCATGCATACATGCATGCAGAGACGCACGTAAAGTAAAAATAGATAAATCTTTTAGAAGTTGCAAACCTTTGTAGGCTAACATTTCTTTGTCAAACTGGATGCTAAGAAGCCTTTACTCTTTGGACAGGTAAACTGTATCAAGGCGGCTGACTGCACCCAGCCAGTACTCCCCATAAACTTACCAGTTTGCCCCTTTTGTATAAATATACTTAACGTCACCCAGCTGACAAAGCACACTCATGT